AGACAGTTGCTTTGGATGTCATATGAATTTAGAGGTCCAGTAAGATGTGGAAACTTGAAGGTTACCCTTAACAAGAGCACTTCCTGTTTCTCCTTTTCCCAATATGGATGTTCAATTGGAGTGGAATGTGGAAAAAGTAGAAGATGAATAAGTGGAGGCAGATAGTGAAGATAACCTTCTGGTAAGTTTTGCTGTAAAAGGGTCCTGACAGAAGAGGGACATAGAGTCAAATTTGAACTGCATATTTGAGTTTGAGTTACACAAACAAAAAACCCTGAACTAGAGCACTCTAGATGGAAACTATTAAAACCTTGGTGTGTGTGCTGAAGGGAAAGAGAGAGGGTTATATTGTAGAGTAATGAGAGGAGTGAAGCCCTTGAGAAGGCAAGAGTTGAAGAACCCAGAGCAGTAGCCAAGGATAAGTAGACCAGGAACATTGCCTCCACTGTAACAGGAAGGAAGGCAGAGAATATGGGAGATTTAGTTGACCAGCAGGAACATATCACCCTTCCCTGGCTGGTTCAGTATATCTAGTCCACGCTAATTTATTTAAGATGTGAAAGCTGTTCCACATGAAGCTAGAACAAATGAATATTTGGAGGGCTTATGGGGTACTTTAGTAAGTAATAATTAACCTAGTTTAACTAACCTGAGATTTTCTCTGTATCATAAGAACAGCAAGATTTTTGCAAGAAAAGATGTCTTTACACTTGAAAGGTCAAGGTCCAGTACTTTCTGCTAAATATAACTCTGAAAATGAGGACTTTAGTGATTAACTCTCTCAATCGTCTAATCTGATTATCAACCTTGGCAGATGTTCCTCTCAGAGCGTTATAGCAATGTATTTAAATTGTAGCTATCTGTTTGCTCTCAATTATTAACTTTATGTTTGAGTGAAAAGCAAATCTGAGACAGAGTGCTCCAGGTACTGAACCAGGGTCATAAGCACATGTTGTATATAATGAGCCTGAGTTTGTCCCTAGATAATGTGGAGGAAAAGACTAGGTGAAACTAGGAGATCTGGACTCAAACTGCCTGTTATTTATTTGTATTATGTTGTTGTTGATAGTTGCTGGCAAGTCGACTCCAACTCATGGCGACCTCATGTACAGCAGAACAAAATGTTGCCCTGTCCTGCACTATCTTCACAATCGCTGATATGCTCGAGTCCATTGTTGTGGCCACTGTGTGTTTTGAGTGCTTTACAACCTGCGGGGCTCACCTTCCAGCACTATATCAGACAATATTGTGTTGATATCCATAAAGTTTTCATTGACTAAATTTTGGACGTAGACTACCAGGCTGTTCTTCCTAGTCTGTCTTAGTCTGGAAGCTCTGCTGAAACCTGACCACCATGGGTGACCCTGCTGGTATTTGAAATACTGGTGATGTAGCTTCCAGCATCATAGTCACCACAGTATGACAAACTGACAGACAAGTGGGTGGTGGAGCACAATATATACCATATTTTAAACATTTAGTCAGTTTTTTAATAATAAGTGAATGAAAGAAGGATCATAGTAAGAGAAGCATCATCTCCTTCATTATCTCTTTCTCCCTAGGGAGAACGGGAATGATAAAATTAGGCATACAGAATATCTTATCCTTTTAGGAGATCCCGCATTATTATATAACACTCTCAAATGCCCTCTGTGTCCGACAGAAGGAGCATTAGAGTAAACGTGGTTTCCTACAGGGCCCAACTCGCAAGAAAAATGCCTAGTTGGTGAGGGAATTGCCTAAACTTCAACAAACACTCATGACTTCTTGTCTCTCACAACAGGTTAACTGCCTTTCTTAGCAGATGTGTAAACTCCTTGTTAGTGCCAGCTGGCCTTATTTCAGGTTTTGACAGGACTTAAACTAACAGGCAGCAAGAACTATCTTGGTTAATTAAGGAGGTGTAAATTTAACTCCATGAGTGACCAGGCCATGTAATATGTATCCCCAAATCACTGCACTCAATTCATTCTAGTCATTCACACACAGCCAGATATCCTCTTTCCAAGGTGTCTGGGAGAGAAGACCATCACTTGGCTCAATCCCTTTCTCAAATTCACCCACTAAGCCTGTGAGGAGCTCAGGAGATAAAGTACCATATAAGATTTGTGAACTCTGGGAGCTAATGTGGTCCAAGTCAACTTCATATTCAATTTTGTGGGGCAGCGGGGGTTTGAAGAAGATAAGGGCAGGGACTTGGCACTGCACAGGTGCTCCTGAACTCACTGTAACTGTGGCATCTTCTAATTCTTGTATTTACTGTGCTCTACTCTAGGGGCTTGGAACAGTAAAAAGAGCCCAGGCCTGGATATGTTGGAAAGCATGCAGGACTGAGAATCAAGAACTGCAGGGTCCAGTCCCAGCTCTACCAACAACTACGGTAAGTAAACATGACCAGCCATTTTATCTTTCTAGGTCTCAGTTTATGCCTCTGTAAAATAAAAAATACTGAAACAAATGGTATTTATAGTTCCTTTCAGCATTCAAATTATAAAAATTCCATGCCTTATTTTATATAACTCAGAACTATTTCGAGCCCCTGTGTTTTAGCCACAGCCACTATAGTTGTCACTTAGTGTAACCATGAAGAGACACTGTGAATGACTGTTCTGCCCAGTTCCCGCCTAGTCTTGCACTTCCTGTTGACTTTGGACAGAACAATTCTTTTACTTAGCCTGTGGTAACTTTTTGGCCAGAGGCTGGCTTAAGGAGATAGAAGCATTACAACATGCCTCTGGAGGCTGATTGTATTGGTCACTTTGCTCCTTCCAGATGATCCTAAGGGAATTCAGTAATGCCAAAGTAACTCAGAACACATAGTTGCTATTGAATCGACTTTGACTCATGGTGACGCCATGTATGTCAAAGTAGAATCATGATCCATCCGTAGGGTTTCAGTGGCTAATTCTTTGGAAGTAGATTGCTACACCTTTCTTCTGATGTGCCTCTGGGTAAACTGTCACCTCCAACCTTTTGGTTAGCAGCTGAGAGCATTTAACCAGGGACTCCAGTGTCAAAGTACCCATTGCCACTGAGTCGATTCCTACTCATAGTGACTCTGTAGGACAGAGTAGAACTGCCCCCGTAGGATTCCCAAGGCTGTAATCTTTACAGAAGCAGACTGCCACATCTTTCTCCTGTGGAGCGGCTGTGTTGGAACTGCCAACCTTTCCATTAGCATCCAAGTGCTTAACCACTGTGCCACTAGGGCTCCTTAATGTCAAAGTAGTCCCCAGAAAATGTAGATTCCCCTTATATTGGAAGATATCTTTTTCATGGATATAAAACACTCAACTATTTCACAATCATGAGGAACAATTTCCTTTCTGATCTCTTTGCCAGACCATCTCAAACTTCCAACTACCCAGCTTGTTCAATTCTCTTTACCTCTTCTTCCTTGTTCCTGCTCTGTGGTCATAAAGGTGTTAAAGATATGCCTATTGGGCATAGAAAAAGGAAAGAAAACTAAAGTTTACAGAGTTCCTCACTGGCCACTGATTTCTGCCTGTAGCCACAGAAGAATGAGAAGCCTGTTTCTGCCCCCCTACTACTCCCACTCCATTCATTACAAAGCAGGCCTGGGTGGATTGAGTATTCTGCTCTGGTTGTGAGCTCTGAAGCTCAATGCCCCCAGAAGGAGCCATCACAAAATGATGTCTGATTGCTGTGACACCTCCCTGGGCAGAGAGATGGCCTCTGAGCTCAGCTAAAGAGCAAAGCTGATGGAAGTAAGATCAGAGGTTCTTGTTGCTCAACTTCCTGACTGTAGTTGATGCTTCATCTCAAAATTTTGTATCAAGGCCCAAATTGGGATGTGGAATATGGGATGATCTGGATAGATCTGTGCTCGTGTGTGAGGGAGCTAAAACACAAATCTCTGAATATTTAGGCACTTGCCATGTAATTCTCATAACATACCTGTCAGGTAGTAATAGCCCCCATTTTACATAAAAGGAAACTGAGGTTCGGATTTTAGGTAATTTGTCCAAAAGAACAAAATAAAACCCGTGTCTTCTCTGACTCTCAAGTCTGTTTTCCTATTATTATTTCTCATACTATTTCCCAAAATATCTGCCCTGATTCAAAAGGTTCCTGTTTACATATGAAGCAAAGAATGATCAAAAAATGACCAATAGCTGAGTAAAAAGAACAGATGCAGCAATAGTCAATGCCAAATGTCAACTCTAACTTATCATGAGTCTTTGAATTTTATTTTAGTCCAATTTAGAGATATATTTAATCATATGTGGAAGAATAGATAAGTTTGAATTTAATTTTTCTCCTGAACATGATCCTGGTAAATGGTAACATTTTCCTCCCCCAGTAATATTTTGCAAAGGTACTGGGAAGAGTCTCTTCTGGTTCTCCTATGAATGTGACTTTTCAAAACTGGGTGGCCGTCTTCACATATTGGAGCAGCTGGCATTGGCTCTGGAGACCTGACTATACACATCTCTTTCCAATTCTGCATTCAGTAATGCCTCCGTAGTAGCTTCAAATCGGCCGCAGTGGGAGTATTTACACCACAGAAATCAGCAAACTATTCTAAGCAGAGCTCTTCTCTTTCGTTTTGGAGAGCTGATTGTTAAACCTTTACCATCACACCACTGGTTGTCATTCTTAATCACAGACGTGTGGTCATCGAAGCTGACAATGTACACTGAATATTTCCAGGCCAGGCTAGTTTTTCTAGGAATATGACTTTATGACTGTTATCAGGATAAGTAAAAACTGGCACAAGGGATATAGTGTGAAAAATATCCCGGAATATTAACGCACTCTGATTAGGTGGCCTGTACTTTTCAGGACTTCCCAGGAACTTGGAAGAATCCTGTAAACTCCCACTGGTGTCCTCAGGAAAGCAAGGAATACTTTATTCACTTGAGAATGCTGAATGGAGCATGGGAAAAATATATACATATATACACATATGCTCATCGCTGTCGAGTTGATTCCGACTCATAGTGACCCTATAGGACAGAGCAGAATCAAGGAGCACCTGGTGGATTTGAACTGCCGACCTTTTGGTTAGCAGGCATAGCTCTTAACCACTACACCACCATGGTTTCCATATACATATAGATATATATAATCACATATATTTAAATTTCTTATATACTCTAAAGACTCTACTGTCATGAGCCCATGAATTTAATACTCTCTTGGTTCTTCAAATTCATGGACTTCGGGCTTTCAATACACGAACTCAGGCTTTGAAAGTCATGCTACAAGTTGGAAGGCTGTGCATCACCCCCAGGTCATTTCCCTCTAGTTTGCCGATTTCCCATCACTGACACAAACACACCAGCTGGCGCTCCCGGCCCCACCAAAGGAGAATGTTCAAGAGGCAAGTTCAACTTGGTGGGGAATTCCTCTCCCCTGCACACACTTGCCTGCTCCCTGGCGGCCGGGTCACAGCTGATGGTGCATGAATCAGCCTCTCGTCTCAGACTGCGTACTTGCGCGCTCCGCCCCGTCAGGGGTCGGGAGGACGCTCACCACACATAAAGCAGGCCCCCACCGCGGCGGCACCCAGGCCGCCTCGGGGCTGGACACGGCGCACCTTCCTCCCGCCCGGAGCATTCCTGCGACACATCGCCCCGCGGGCCGATCGGACGTAGGCGCCATGAACCCTGCTGGCCCGATCGGGCTGCTGATTCTGCCGCTGGTCCTGCTGGGGACTGCGCTGCGGGGTGCTGCCCAGGCACCGGCAGGTACCGAGCCCCGTCGAGGAGCGCCTTTTACCGCCTGGATTCCTCTGGGCCAGGAGGGGAATGCGCTGCGGGCTAATGCACCCCTTGCGCCCGCGCTCTTCGCCCTTCATTCTGCAGGCTTCTGCCGCGCGCCCTGCGGAGCAGTGGGGTGGGATGACTCGCTCCTGAGTTTGCACTTTCTCTCTCAGAGGCGGCTAGGATAGAACTCCCCGCGATGTCTCTCCTTCCCAGCTATGTGTCTGACCTCCTTCCCTCTCTTTTGCTCTCCTCTGACCCTCCTGTAGGCAATAACGCGGAGATTTGCCTGCTGCCCCTGGACGAAGGGCCCTGTCGAGCCCGAATCCCCAGTTACTACTACGACAGGTACACGCAGAGCTGCCGCCAGTTCATGTATGGGGGCTGCGAGGGCAATGCCAACAATTTCGAAACTCTGGCGGCCTGTGATGAAGCTTGCTGGAGGATAGAGAGTAAGTGCCCGCTCGCACACACACTGGGAACTCTTGTGCCTCGCCTTGCACACAGGGGATTGTAGTAACTTAGCTAATGTTCCAGATCTCATTTTTCTACAAGAAGTTTTAGCGCGAATTTTCTCAAGTGTTAAGGCAAGCCTCAGTGGTACTGAGTTTCCTAAAAGTAATCACAACTTTACAACCACTAACATATTTCCTCACTCCTGGGTGACATTTATCATAATTCAATGCCTTTGTGAACTCAGGGAAAGATTTGTTATTTCACTATAAGGCACAAAATATGCAAGGGTATAATATAGGTACAACGTAAGTGCTTTTCTGTATTTATCGTTAGTTCGAAAGCTATGGTTTTTATTCTTCCCTGAGAACATCATTTCCTAGTGTGGGTTATCTATCAGCCTGAGATACTTCTTGGTGGGTTTTATTATTAAACTTTGATTTCGTTCATAGTTCGTTATAAACTTCTTTTTTTTTGCCCTGAAAACGAAACATGTTTTGAATTGGTTTAGGCATATAGTGGAGATTCCCATGATACTATTTTGTGTTTGTTTTATTTTTATTATATCAATTAACACTTGTAACAGGACTTGAGTCTTAGCTCTTCAAGGAACTGAGCCGGGGAAAATTGGTATTTATGTGAATAAGCTTTGGTTAACTTCATATGCAAAAACAATCAGGGAACATCCAGATAGAAAAGTCTTTCCGTTTGAACTTGAAAGATGTATCACAGCTGAATTAGGTCTGGATACACTCTGTTAGAAAAAGCTAAATCACTGGATTAATGGCAGTATTTGGGGGTTTGCTATCCTGGCACTAAATATGATGCCTTTTCCCCCATATGTTTCTGAAAATACAGTTAAGTTTTGAGAGTTATAGTGAGACCAGTTTTTGACTAACATTGTTTTGTTGCCCTCCTTTTCCTAGAAGTTCCCAAAATTTGCCGGTTGGAAGTCAGTGAGAAACAATGTGAAGAGTCCAGACAAGAGTATTTCTTCAACCTAAGTTCCATGACATGTGAAAAATTTCTGTCTGGCGGGTGTCACAACAATGAGAACCGGTTCCTAGATGAAGCTACTTGCAGAGGATTCTGTACACCAAAGAGAAGTAAATCTTATTCATTTTTATGGTGTTTGTATTAAATTTCTTTAGTAACACTTTTGAGTGAAAACCCAGTAATTTGATGTGGAATTAGCATAGTTTGAGTTCTGATGCCTTGTGAGGAAGTATTGTTATCCCTGTTCTGACACGAGGGAACAAGCTGGGAGACGTTAAGGACTTAACGGCTGGAGAGGGAGGAAACCGTGATTCAAATTTTTGCTGCTGCTTTGGCATTGTTTCTTTATAACTATTTCTCATCTACTCAATTTCCACATAACAATTAGTGTTCATTAACGAATGCCTTGACCTCCAGTTTCTCCGATATCAGTTGTAAGTATGAGATAGTGGAATATATAATAGACTTCAGGTGGTGCTATGAGTCAGAATCAACTAGACAGCAATGAGTTTTGAGATGGTGAAAACTTGAATAATTTCTTTCTAAAGCTTTTAGTTAGATTTCTGTATCATTTAGTAATTGCAAATTGCAGCACAAACAGATGTCTATTCTTTTTTCTCTTCTCCTGATTCCCTGCCTACCCCTTTTCCCCCGTTGTAAGCCTTGAAACAGTGGAGTACTTGGGCAGTATTTAATATTTTGGGGGAGAGACAATTCAGGCATATTTCCATGTGAACAGCAGAGACACGAAGATAAATAAATTTGAAAAAACAAAGGAAAACTGCTTTGGCAGAGACTTTGATAAAGCTCTCTAGCTATACTGTGTTGGATATACAAAATCTTGAATTAATGGGGAGATGATGATTGCTGGTGTTCTTTTAAATTATTTGTGTAGTTGTAAATGTTCCAGTTGCTACTTGGGGTGACATAGTGATTAAAGAACTCGGCTGCTAACTGAAAGGTCAGTGGTTCAAACCCACCGGCTGCTCTGCAGGAGACGGATGTGGCAGCCTGCTTCCGTAAAGATTTACAGCTTTGGAAACCCTATGGGGCAGTTTTACTGTGTCCTGTGAGGTTGCTGTGAGTCAGAATCGACTCAATGGCAATGGGTTAATGGGATAGGAGTCCGTGGGTGGTACAAATGGTTGAGAGCTTGACTGCTAACCTAAAGGTTATTAGTGAAAAGATCACAGCCTTGATAACCCTGTGGAGCAGTTCTCGTCTTCACACATGGGGTTGCCATGAGTTGGAACTGGTTCGATTTTTTTTTAATTTTTACTCTTGAATAGTAAGGGAAGGAATTCTGATTCAAAACATTTAAAATAAAACTACCAACACAGACAGTTTATCAAAGCATCTCATATAATATTTCTTGCCTCTTAGCCCATTTTTACCTATATCTGTGTGGTTTGTTGGTTGAATTTCTTTTCATATTCAAAGTGATATAAAGACATCACTTCAGAAAGAATTCCCTCCAGTTTATGAAAACTTAGAATTTCCAAAATATATAAACTTCCCTGAAATTTGAGGAATACTTTTTTAAATGATTGAGTTTGATATTTTGGATTCAGAGAGAGGTTTCTATGGGATTAGCTTTTTTGAATCGCTTCAATAATCATCACACTTTACTAATTCTAATATTATAGAATTTCTAATTTTATTTTTCTATTTTTGTAAAGGCCCATCATTTTGCTATAGTCCAAAAGATGAGGGACTGTGCTCTGCCAATGTGACTCGCTATTATTTTAATCCAAGACACAAAATCTGCGAGACATTCACCTATACTGGCTGTGGAGGAAATGACAATAACTTTGTTAGCATACAGGATTGCAAGAAAGTTTGCGCAAAAGGTAGTGGACTTTTTCTTATTCCATTTTTAAATAACTTTATAAACAATTCACCAACAAAACTATATTTTTTCACTAATAGCATCTTGCCATTTCTAGACTACTTGTACATAAATAGCACTTTAGTACTGACTGATTAGTTTTGTCAAAATTCTTATACTGGCTAGCTACAAGAGCTGTACCCTTGTTATTTTAAAGGTAGAATGTCGTTAGCTGAGTGTATAATGAGTCTATCTGACTTTATAATCTTTAAAAATGAGATGAGGTGAGCCTGTAAGCATATTGGAAGAGGTATTTTATAGTGACCCTACAGACTGGAGACATATGGTATTTATTGTTATTTTGTTGACTTTAGCCTTGAAGAAGAAAAAGAAGAAGATACGCAAGTTTGTCCTTGCCAGTAGAAGCCTAAAACTTCAGAAGAAGCAACTTTAACCATTTTTCCTGTATGTAATTTTGTGAATATTGAGTGCCTTTATGGTGATATCTGAAGGAATCATCTGGTAGCCGGAGGAAACAAATCAGATGTGATTTATTCACCAGTTTTTATTGATACAAGTTACGTTTTATATTTGCGTATTTTTATACATAACTAGCTGCTATTCAAATGTGAGTCTGTATCATTTTTAGGTTATGGTTCAACTACTTTTTTTTTTAAAAAAAAGGGATTAAATTCTTGTAGTGCTTAAAATATAAAAGCAAATATGTTGACTTACACAGTTCTTAGGGCTGCTGTCCCTGATTTCAGAAGATAACAGCAACTGAAATAGCACAAAGCAATATAATCATGTACTTTTTACATGTATGGGCATAAAAAGGAGTGGCAAATACATTTCATTTTGCATTTAAAAGTTGGATTATATTGTAGGTTCTAGGAAAAAAAGCTGCAGATTTACCAACACTTTAAAAAATATTCCCAGTACTATTATGTAGACACTACTTACTATACCCCCATTTCTATTGGGCCAGATTGTGGTGTCAAGAATAAGGGGATTTATTTAAAAGATAATATAATAACTTTCTTGAGTGAATTAAAAAGCTAAATTTAGTAAATTTATTAAAATCAGGATTGTTCTCCTCTGGGAAAAAAAAATGATTGTATCTATCTATCTACTGTCTCTATGTATTCATTTATATATGTTTGGATATAGACACAGATGTTTTTAAACTTTTTTCCTAAGACGTAATGGGTTGGAGACCACTAAAGTTGTTAAATATTTTGTACTGTCTAAGGTGTTTATTGAGAAGCCTGATGGCACGATGGTTAAAGCGCTCAACTACTAACTGAAGGGTCAGCAGTTCGAAACCACCAGCAGCTCCGCGGGAAAAAGATAGCTGTGGCAGTCTGCTTCTGTAGAGATTTATAGCCTTTGAAACCCTACGGGGCTGCTATGAGTTGGAATTCACTTGGCCACAGTGGGTTTAAGCTGTTTATTTACATTGCACCAGAAACCATGCATGAATTTAAGAATTTAAATTCCACCAATAAATTATTCTTAAATATTTTCATTCCAGTGGAATAGTTTCTTTTTCTTTCTCTATAATAATTTTTTTAATGCCTACATTTTCTTGGCAAAATTAACATGTTTGAAAGTATGCCCCTCTATCAAAGTATTTTCCCTTTACTCCAGCAATCCCTCTATTAAGAATCCACCCCAGAGTTATTGTGACAAAAATACAAAATGATATATGCCCAAGGACATTCATCGATGCATTATTTGGAATAGCTGAAGACTGGAAACAAACGGGTTGCTCATCAATAGGAGATTGGTTGAAGAAATTATGAATGAGAGATGAGGGAAATATTTATCTATGTATATTACCTGATTCCCAGGATACATAAAACAGGGTAGGGTCCCATACGGTATGAATAAACACACGCATATACACGAACGTAAAAGAAGATAGAAGGATATTCAAAATAGTTACTTATAGGAAGAAGGAGGGGAACAAAGTAGAGTGGACAGGTAGGGAAACGAAATGTCTGTGAATGTGGCTTGTTACAAGTTTTGACATCAGGCCATGTAGATGTTTTACATAATTAAAAAAAAAACTAAAATAAAATAAAGATAAAAGCATTCCCTTGGAAATTAAAAACAAGCCAAAGCAATTGCACCCAAATGAATATTAAATAGTGGTGTAACTATACACAGAATGTAATTATTTTTGGATATTTCAAAATCAGTACTTTAACTGCATCTAGCCTGGAGGATATAATCAAAGATCAAGAAAATTCTGAACAAATCTGAAAATGTGTTTAGTTGCCTTATTGTTATTAATTATATAGTCATTTTAAGTTTACCATATATACGGATACTATATTAGACTATATAGTCTATCAGAAAATATGAATGTGCACATTTCTTTAGAAGTCAAGATTTTCAGTGTTAAGAGAAAAAGAGATGCAAGTTTAAAATCAAAGAAATAACTAAGAACCTTGAAATTTTAAATTGGAATTAGAAATATTAGTATAAACTCATAATTAAAAGTATGTGTTTCTCATCCTTCCATTTAAAAATCCTTGAAGCAATGACAACCCCAGTAGCAGTAAATATACTTAGTATCTAGGTTGTGGTTTCTAAATACTGTTTCTCACTAAAAGGAAGCAGGGCCCCTAGGAGAAATCTCTGAATCCAGGTCTCAGGCAGAAAATATATAAGATGAGCCTAGGTCATCTTGTTCCAGAAAGCAGGGAATCTATCAAAGACTAATAAACCATGTCTAAAAAAAAACCCCCCAAAAAAACAGAAACCATAGAAGAGCAATGCTAAGGTCTCCCACTGACGTAAAATGAGACAATATGTGCATCAAAACAAACAGGGACCCAAATCATCGACTATATAAAAATTTTATGAGTTCATAATTATAGATAGGCACATACATACACACAAACCTTGGTCAGTTTTGGAGGTTGTTAGGGAACGATCTCATTACTTTGAAAACTGATAGTTAAACAGAAGAAAGCATTTATCCTATATTCTTTAATAATTGTACCATATGGAAACTAAATAGTGTATGAGACAAAGTTATTCATAAAAGAATTCCAGCTAATACAAGAATTAAAATGTTAGAAAATACCTCTGATGAAAGCATGCTAATGATCATCAGTTGGTGCTAAAACCATGTATGAAATGTTGATGGAGAACATTATCATGGAGGAATCTGAACTCACTGATAATTTTAACATCACTAAAAATGTGACAGTAGACATTGCTTCCTAATGTGATGCAATAAGAAGTGCACAACTCTACCCATGAAGTGTTCTTGCCAAAAAAAGAAGAAGAAGAAAAAACTTAAAATTAGTCAAGTCTCTTAATCTCACTAATACATTGCCAAATTGTAAGAAATACGGGATAAAGGAGGAAGTTACAAGAAACTAGAGGAAGTACTAGAGGAAGTAATCAGCCAAATCTGTAATGTTGGAAACTCTACAGGACATATATCCTGGTTTCTCAAAAAAATAAATGGAATTTAAAAGGGAGAACAGAGGCAGCAGTGATGTTACAGACTATAAGACATAATTTTTTTTTAAATGTATGTTGTTAAAACTTTTTTTGGCTGAATAGGCCTGCCTTTATGACCATTTTTCATATTTGAGAACAATTAAAGCAGAAGGATCTTGTGTATATAATGGTTGTAGGATGCGTGATATAGAGCCTTTGGGAATTCTGGAAGTTTCTACACTCCAGGGGAACTAGATTTGATATTTACTGCCTTTTAATCCCCCGGAAGCCAAAGTGCTTAGGGGATCATGGACCCAGTTCAACTCATGGTTGTACTTCTTTGCCCAGCATGGATAAGAAGTAAATCTTTTTGATACAACTGATCTAATGCCTCAATCCTCTGCCAATCTATTTTAATGAAGAAATAAATAAAGCTGAGTGCTGCAAATGGTTGAGCCAAAAAGTTTTCAGTTTGAACCCTCCCAGAAGTTCCTCAGGAGACAGGCCTGGGGATCAGTTTCCGAAAGGTCAAAGCCTTGAAAACCCTCTGGAGCAATTCTACTCTACACACATGAGGTCTCCATGGATTGGAATCAACTGTCTGGAAGCTAACAACAACAAGAAGAACATTCTGCAGTCAAACGGAAATTCCTTCTTATCACAATCAGCTTGAAGACAAATCACTACTGTAATTTCACCAGACAGCCTGATTAAAAGGGATGTCTCATTCTGTTACACACACACACACACATACACACAAAAAAAGAATAGGATGGCTTTTAATAAGATAGTCTTTTATCAAAAAAAATTACTCAGGACTATCACTCACATCGCTATGCACACACACTGCACATGGTCGCAATGTTCAACCGTAGAAACTGAAATGGAACTCTCAAAACTGCCAGAATCACAATGCCCCCAAGTATCTATGCTATCTCCACCAACAGTCTTGTACACCTTTAGGTAAGAATCTTGTTCAGTAAGGGAATTTCCTTTTAAGTGCCTGTTCTTGTATAGTAACAGTGGTTTTAGAAATTCCAGCTGTGGTGTATCCAGAGATAAATCTCTGCAGTGTTTCCAGGGAGCAGAGCCAAGAAAACAAATCAGAGGGATGTCTGCTGATTCTTTCTTGGATCTCTTATGATTTTATGGACTCCATCATGGTGGCAGGAACTCATATTAGCTTGTAAAAGCTTTGTATTTCTGGTAAAATAGAGGTCTTACAATAAAAATTAGTAAAGAGTACACAAGTGCAGAGTTGTAGCTTTAGCATACTCTTTGTCTGTATACTTTGTTATAAACTTAGAGGTGGAGGCAAGCAAACATGGGAATCAGAGTATGATAGGTTCAAGAGACCAGACATCCCAGTAATATTAAAGGATTTCTGGGTCAGGAAACTAGATGGAGTAAACTGAAAAGATAGAAGGTAGTGGTAAGTGAGTAGAATGCATAAAATTGATTTTATGGTCAGGTAATAATTATTTGTAAAGATAAAGTCTAGCATATGACTATTATGCAGAGTGTAGGACCTTGGAGAAGCAAAGTCAGGGGAACTGAAAATTGGAGTGTTGGAACAATTATTTTTGTATACTACATTTTTATGCAAACAACACTTGTGTTCTAAGTTTTTCGGCCAATCACACCCACCGCACAAGGTATTTTCCTAAGTGTACTATGCTAATTTTTTTTACCCTTGAAGAGGAATGGGGTTGAATTCGTCATCAAAAAGAAAATTTCAAGATCTATCCTGAAGTACAACGCTGTCAGTAATAGAATACTATTCATAGGCCTACAAGGAAGACCAGTTAATATGACTGTTACTCAAATTTATGCACCAACCACTAAGGCCAAAGATGAAGAAATGAAGATTTTTACCAACTTCTGCAGTCTGAAATTGATTGAACATGCAATCAGGATGCATTGATAATTACTGGTGATTGAAATGCAAAAGTTGGAAACAAAGAAGAAGGATCAGAAGTTGGAAAATATGGCCTTGGTGATAGAAATGATGTCAGAGATCGCATGATAGAATTTTGCAAGACCAATGACTTCCTCATTGCAAATACGTTTTTTCACCAACATAAACGGTGACTATACATGTGGACCTCGCCAGATGGAATACACAGGAATCGAATTGACTACATCTGTGGAAAGAGACGATGGAAAAGCTCAATATCATCAGTCAGAGCAAGGCCAGAGGCCAACTGTGGAACAGACCATCAATTGTTCATATGCAAGAAGATGAAGAAAATTAGATCAAGTCCATGAGAGTCGAAGTACAACCTTGAGCATACCCCACCTGAATTTAGAGACCATCTAAAGAAAAGATTTGACATGTTAAACACTGATGACCAAAGACCAGACGAGTTGTGGGATGACATCAAGGACATCATACATGAAGAAAGCAAGAGGTCATTAAAAAGACAGGAAAGAAAGAAAAGACCAAAATGAATACAGAAGAGACTCTGAAATTTGTTCTTGAACATCAAGTAGCTAAAGAGAATGGAAGAAATGATGAAGTGAAAGAAATGAGCAGAAGATTTCAAAGGGTGGCTAGAGAAGACAAAAGTCGAGAGACACATTATAATGACATGTGCAAAAACCTGGAGCTAGAAAACCAAAAGGGAAGAACATGCTCGGCATTTTCAAGCTGAAAGAACTAAAGAAAAAACTCAAGCCTCGAGTTGCAGTATTGGAGGCTTCTACAGGGAAAATATTAAAGCATCAAAAGAAGATGGAAGGAACACGCAGAGTCACTATACTAAAAAGAATTTGTTGATGTTCAACCATTTCAGGAGGTAATATATGATCAGGAACCGATAGTACTGAAGGAAGATGTCCAAGCTGCGCTGAAGGCATTAGCGAAAGACAAGGCTGCGGGAATTAACGGAATACCAATTGAGATGTTTCAACAAATGGATGCAGCACTGGGAGTGCTCACTCATCTATGCCAAGAAATTTGGAAGACAGCTACCTGGCCAACTGACCGGAAGAGATTCATAATTTATGCCT